ACTGCATGTAAAATGACTGGCAACCAAAGGGGAGATGGGCGCCTGGGAAACTGTGAAAAATTTCTGAACACTTGGGTTGTATGCCTTCTACACATCCATACAAGTGCTTTTGCTGTGAGCACAGAAAGGACACTACAGCCACGTAGGACCTGCCAGATCTCAACTGAGACCGCCGCTCAGAGGTTTCTTAGAATTGATGAATATCAACAGAGCAGAAGCAACTGAAATATTTCGATGAGTCATTTTAGGGCATTCACTTCACAACACGTAGATGGCAGCTCTCCGCCCACCCAGCCGCAACTGGCATGATTAATGGGGATTATTCCATAAATGTTTTTGTGGAAATCGAACGACTCGCACCGCTGTGCAATCTGTTTTGCTGATTGACGGAGATGATTATCAAAATGCATCAAGTGAACTCTTTCATTATGGGCAAACTGGCCGAACAAATGCTAGGGTTTTGTTTGACTGAGATATCATGTTTTGCTAGTTTTATATTTGGAAAGCAATCGTAAAAAACCTATGTGACACGCAATTTCCCTGAATTTCCTGCATAAACGCCTTCGGAAAACAGCCGACACATTCCACGTTATCGCTCGCTTAGACGACGCATGACATTTGTTGCTAGCACACAGATTCCACCACCCATCAAAAATACTCCAATACGATAATCTACGACTATTCTCTAATCTCAGGGCCCACGGTCTGCATATCAATAATTGGGCCGTACACGCATAATTCATGAATGCCCACAGTGGTTATGGAGAAACAGTTGTCGTTGGACCTCAAGTGTTTAGCTGAAAGTGTGCACCACTCCGAGGGTCGCAAGGGCGCAACGCTTCGGGCTATTTGCCAAGCGAATATCTCGTACCGGGATGACAAGTTTGCACAGCATACTTTTGTATACCAAGGGAACTACTGTAGGACAATCACCACGCTATAAACCTCGGCTTACACACGGATAAACCTACATTGCTCTCGTTTCATGGCCCTTTGGGTCACCAGCCCTCGAGCCGCCACATTAAAACGGCCACGTGATTAGAATACCCCTTACACCTGTTTTCAAGACACCACCATTTTTATGACCTCAGAAACACTTAAACTTGCTAAAACCCCGAAATACCTCTTAGGTTAATTAGAAGAAGATTCTCCGAGTGCTGACATTCTGCATCCGGATAACGCGTCGTCGGTAATCGGGGATAATGTGTCTCAACCCGGATGGCGGCCTTCGGACACACCTCTCCATAGTTGTGACCTTTGTGGCCTTCAAAACTGTCACACTGACCTCTGGCCTCAAGAAGATCGTTTATCGGTTCACGGTGACTGTCGTGAGAATCATCCTTGCTCACTGTGCTGTTGTTATATGCTGGTATGTTCCCGAGATGAGCAAGCTTATGGCTCACTACTGTTGTGGTCAACCCCCGGCTCCATCAGAATCGCACAAGCGTGGTTCAAAAACTGCCAGCAAAGCAGCCTTGAAATGATGTTGAGTTTGTTCTTCGCACAGAAACGCACAAGGGCGCTCCTCGGAATTCTGGGTGCATACATAAATTTGGCCCATCTTTATATCATAACACTGGTACCTGGTGGAGGCAAGAGAGGAAGATGACTTTATCCGAAACAAGCGAATGAGAGCTTTCTCCGATCATTGCTAGGAACACTTGGCTTTTCTGCAACTCTGAAGTGGTAGGCGGGTTTATGCTTTGCCACGACCATGCAGGCTGCTTTGGTTGGTACATCTTTTCATTAGTTTCAAGCACAGCATAATGGCTAACGGATAGCTGTCAAATCAATTGCAGCGAATTCCACTACCGTAGATGTCTTTGTTTTAACGAAGTAAGTGGCAAATATTAATTTTCCTATGGGATGAATTTGCTCACTGGCTCGTTTAGATAGTGAATTGGTAGAAATCCATTTTGGTTCCAGTATGTTGGTTCCGTAGCGAAGCCTCATGCGTTTTGTGTTCCGTACACATCGAGGCTTCCAACTCACTAAACATCAACAATATTTAATGAAACCATATGAATCAGCACTTTGACAGATATCGTGCCACTCAAATCCATTTTTAAGTGAAAGCTTATTAGAGTAAGCGATGAATTCAATTTGACCCTCCAGTGATATTGTGATAAACTACTTGGCTTCGCATATTCAGTGCCAATAGCTCACTGAACACATATACAGGCTCGAAATACCTACCAAGGCCTACAATCACCAGAAAGTCTAGTCAAATTCAATGTTTCATCTTACTCCTAGTGGGACCTTTGGCTTTTCTGGTTGAGACGAATGCGTGTTCGGTACTCCTGATGTGGTCGCTATGATCGACACAAGTTATATTTTGCCAGTTGGACTGGCATCAGAGACTCCGGACCGCATTTTAGCTTGCACGAGACTGCATCGCATGAGAAAGGCAGTTTCTTTGAGCCATTTCAGCCGAAACATCTGGGTTTTCGCTCGATTTACGGAGACGTCGAAATAAGCAGCTTAGGATGTAAACCTGCAACATCAACTCATCTGACAGCTCCCTGATGCCGACGGACCAACGCCTTCTACTTAGTGCCATTTGTAATGAGAGACTCTATTAAAGATGAATGTGACGTAAAAATTTGAGGGGCAACATCATGCAGCTTGCCACAACCATTAACCTAAGGATATAGGATATATAAAGTTTGCGACGTTTGCACCTCCACTCATTTACTAGAATAACGTCATAACAAGTCATGTGCACGAGCTGCAATGTCCCTCCAGCTCCGTACGGAGGGTCGGTGATAAAAGCTTTTATTGGAAACACTCTAGGCGACGCTCCTCTTGGCGTAAGTATGCGGCCTTCCGCAACCATCTGTTTGAGCGGAGAATAGCTAACACTGATGTGATTATTGTGCAGTTTTGTGTTAGCGAATCTGTTGTGGACTATAGCAGCTTTCAAAAGTAGTTACTGACGCAGGAAAACCCGCAACATTCGTCCATTTCCCAGGAATTTTGGACATTATGTTTCATGGAGCGCAGTCTTTCAATTTGAAGCATATAATCACCTTAAAAGCTCGCTCATTTAAACAAACCATCCGCACGGTGGATCAAAAGCGTTAAGTATAGTCACTTTAGCTGTTATGATAAGGCAAGAAATATCATGGTTTTTGAGACAGTGTTGTAATCCCTCGGAACAGACTGACGTCCAATGCCAGCATTTCTTAGCTAGAAATTGGCGGACAAATGTGATTGCACGTTTTCTGAATAGCTGAGGGATCGCCTACCTGTAATTCAGAGGAAGGTAGGCAGACGTATTCGTTGGTGGACTGTCGGATAGCCTGTGATCTGGTGGTAGACTTTCGTCTTTGACTTGCAGACTTTTCGTTACTATTCAATGAGTCATAAACCGCTGCTGCTGATGACCAGAGCACTGATGTCTCCAGAAACGTTGGGGAGGCGTTTTCAGGCCATTCATCAAGCCATCCTCTGAACCAAAGATAAGTGCACCTGAGCACCCAAAATTCTTACATTTATCGAACGTACTTGTCGCGCAATACGCAACTGGACCAGGGGTATTACTGAAGTGGATGCTGAAGAGAAGCCAAGAATCTGAACATGTTCAAATAGTCCCTCGTACCATATGACGAAAAATCATCCCAAAGAGCACTTGTCCTTTGCGCGCCATCCGTTACCTCTCCTTAATCATTGCTGAAATGTCTAGTACATATGAATGGGGCCGTAGCACTCAACTATCGTTATCAACGAGCGGTGACGGAGATGACCGATGGTTTTATATCAACCGATTTCAAAGCATGCTGGACATTCTCAGCCTCTTTGACTACATCGTCGTCACTTCTCAGGATACCTTCGGGTGCAACTTGCTTGGCTATTTTCTTGCCCGACAATGTTTGCTATTGACGTTATTACAGCACGGTTTGGAGCGATGACAGCCGCTTTGACGTTAGCCAACAGCTGATCCCATTTTTGGTAACTGAGGCGGAGAAAGCGAAACGCTGAAGCGAATTTTTCATGATAGTCCTTGTGGTAGTTTGCCACCCGAAATGAAGCCCTGGGAAGCAGTGCTAGAATTTTTTTAACTTGCGTCCCTTTCCCGAAGGCTCCAGAGGATAAAAACAAGCCCGATCAAGAAAGCCTTATAAGCGCCCTGATTGTATGTATCAGTCCATTAAGCCGTTACTTTCACAGCTAGCGATGGATACATCCGCTTTTCCAATAGTCTTCCGGGTGCATGGCAGAGATTTAATTTATACAGGACGGAGATCTCAAACGTCCTAACGCAAACACTGCAAGGTAATGTTCCTGCTGCAACGTGAAATATGAGGAGAAACTTGATCGCACAATTACCGAAACTCAATGCTCAAGCGATAGGGTACAGCTGTAAAAAAGGATGACAGTTCATAATAACTTAGCTTCAAGCAGCTGAACACTGGTTTTGACGTGGTCCCTTACAATTTCCTTATACCCGGCAGCCAGTTGAGCTTCCCAGCTAGATCGAAGCGTCTCCAATGTATATATCGGTTATATCGGTGTATATCGGTTAGAAACTCTCGAGGGCCACCTGATCCTCCGGAGGTTATATTTCTCCCGAAAGCGTCCAGTAGGCAATATTCAGCGATGCAATTTGCATTGCAAGCCGTTGGGTTTTACGGATCATGGCATCGTGGAAAATACTACTAGAAAATTTAAAGGCGATTCATTTAGGGAGGGTGCTCCAGCTCAAAAACAAGTCCAACGCGTGCGCTGGTATATGTTTAAGAGTGACGCACACAAAAACAAAACCTAGACTGAACTTAACTCTGGGAAAATCTACACATGTCGCAGAAACTCAAGGATCTTGCCAGCAAACCGTACACATTTGAATCAACCGGAAAAAATATCCGGCTATCATTAAAAATAAAATTTCGACCGCTATTCTCCGCGGTTAATTAAGACAGCATTAGCAGTATACTACTTATCTCTACGCATGTTTCACAATGCAAATTATTTTTCTGTGACAAAAGCCGTCTTGTTTTAAGCGGCTACATATCTGGCATTTTCCGCTTTTCGCGCTATGGCTAACCGTTGGGGTCGTAATGGTAAGTGTTTTCTGCGGATCTTTTGCGTGGGATCGGGTTCTAACAAGTATTTTCCATTTTAGCACCTTATGGTGGTGGTTATATGGGCTCTGGGGGCATGGGTGGGGTAGGGTTTTACATGGGCGGCCCGCCCTCAGCGGATCGCCGGCCGTACAACCCATCTCCTGCTCCGAAACCGTTCTACGGTGGTTATAGAGAGGAAAACTATGGTCGTCGGTCCGACCGGCGTGACGATTTCCGCGGTGGTAAACGCGGGCCACCCAAAGGGAGGAGTCCTGTCGAAAAACGCCCTTTTCATGACGCCCCGGCACCACGCAGGGACCACCGGTCTTTTGGCAAGCGACAAACGCCTTTTGGCAAGTATGAGGTTAAGATACCAAAAGCCCTCTTTAATATCAAAACCCGGGGATTTTCTGAGTTGCGACACAACTATCCGCGTTTGAACGTTGCGACCGACTTTTACGAGTGTGAGTCAACTTGGTGTGACTCGTTCCCGATGCATAGCCCGTTTAAGCTGGGCAATGCGACGGACTATCACGTAAGTCACGCTTTAGGTTCGGTTCATCCTGCAGGTTTTCCATCGTGATGTTGACCCTCCGGTCCCTGCGGATACGAACCTGCTTAATCCTCCGGACGCTGATTACTCCTACTCCGCCAGGGTGATGCTCATGGCATGTCCGCAGCTCGCCGAATTGTACAAAAATACCTGTCACATGGCAGACGACGTTAGCGGCACTGATAAGGTTCCTCCTGGAAAAAATATACATTTTCTTGTTGGTGGTCGTGCTAAAAGTGAGACCATGGCAATTGGTGGTCCGTGGTCGCCAAGCATGGATGGAGCCGACCCCTGTGGTGACCCTCGAACCCTGATTAACACTGCCATCCGAACATTTAAAGGATATACTGGACTAGATTTGTCCTCATGCACTGAATGGTAGCTCACCTATTTGACACTTATGTTTTGTTTCAGGATCCGCTTCATGGAGATCAGGTATTATCGCTTTGCGGATACCAAAGCCCCCGCGTTTACCGGTGATGATGAGGAGCGTCTGGTTACAACCGAACGCCCAGAAGTGGTTGTTTTCTTCATTCCAAACGCTTCCCACTTGATTCCAAGTGATGAGGAGTGGGCGAAGGTCAAGGAACATTACTCGTCCGTGTTGCAGGCTCTTCTGTCGCCAGAACAGAAGCCAGAAGTTGAAGCGACACCAGGTGCTGACGTACCGGACGTTGAGACATCGGTCGTGGATGCCAGTATGGATGATGGCGATGAGGCAGGCACAAGGTCTGACATGGAGCCTACACACTATTCGAAGTTGGATGCCAATTCGCTTAAGGTTTGTCATGTTTAGCTGCCATGATTACTTTTAGGTCAATGAGCTCCGCAACGAGCTGGCTGCGCGTAATCTCGACACCAAAGGATTAAAAGTCAATTTGGTTGCCCGTCTACAAGCTGCTCTAGACGAAGAGAAAAAGGCAGACATACCAGAGGAAAACAAGACTGCTGAAGATACCAAAGGTAAGCTCAGACCTCCATACTTGTGGTAGTTTGAACACACTTAAGGCGTACACGAGTCGACAGTGGATCGTGCTTAGCAACACATGAATTGGTTTTAAGGCCGTAGGCGCGTTACGTGGAGAAGAAGGCTTACAGGACTCGATTGTCCATAAGCCCCAACTGGTTACACTGGCACTACTTTACTTTGCTGGATTGCCAGCTGAGTCTCACTAACATCCTTCTTTCTGCTTGTATTCAGCGGAGGAAACACCAGCTAAGGCCACGACACCAACGCAGTCGAAGGATGAATCAAAGGATCTGTCTGAGAAAGAGCGCCGACGGTTGGAACGCCTCTATCGTCTGAACGACAAACCGGCTATCATAATCCATCCCAACAAGAGCGCCAGGGGAGGCCGCTTTGATTGTCATCGTGTTTCACTCTTCTCCCTGCTTGATTACCGCACGGAAGAGCAGAAGGAACAGAATTTTGAGGTCTCCTTATTTGCTGAGCAATTCCATGAGATGCTTCAGCGTGACTGCGCCTTCACGATCTTCAAGGCCATTAATGATGCGCCTGAAAAGGAACATAAATCTGAACAAGACGGAAAGTACGAGGACTGTTATTGCGCTTGAAATAGCTATATGTCAGCCGCATAAAACTGCATACCCTTCCGAGCTTGCCGCTGTCTGTCTTGACGCGCCATGGTTGGATAGGGTGTTCTGAATGTATTACATACGTTTTAATATCCATTGAATTCGTTGAGTTAATTGAACGCGTTCCTTGCAGGCTCGAAAATGGTATCGAAGACGAAGAGGAGAAAGAACCTGACGTGAAGCGACGCCGTAACGAAGGTCCGGGGTCGATTGAGCATGAGGGTGACGAGCCAAAAGTTCGCCGTTTGCGCAGAACGACCCAACCGGATCTGCTGTTCGCCTTCAGCTACTACGATCTGGGTCATTCGGGGTACATCAGGGAGCACGACCTCGCGGAGATTTTGCATCTTCTCGGCTTACGTTACTCAAAGGCCCAAGTAAGTCGTCCGTAAGTGTTTTACGATGTTTTAGATGCGAAGACTCGTTACCAAGGTGGTGACTCGAAGGGATCACGTGCAATATCACCAGTTGACAGACAGCGACATAACCGAGGGTGATGACAAGGATGTGGTCACCATTAAAGCGGCCGAGGCGGAGGATATTGAGGTCGTCAAAATGCTGGCACTCGGTAATCGGGCGCTCTTTGACGCTGAGCAACCCCAGGTTCCAGCCAAGTGAGTCACATATGTGTATGTTTATGGGTTTCTTAGGATCATTTTGGGTGGTGGGGACTCGCGTGCCATCACCCAGCGTTTGGAGAAGGCCGAGGAGTTGAGGCGTGCAATGGAATATCAGTTCTTCCGCATCAAAGATGAGCTAGGTAGGTTGTTTGCTGTTACTTCCAATCTGTCTAGAGAAAACGCGCACCCAGTTGAACTCGTTCAAAGACACAGAGGATGAATTGCGGGCTGAAAACAGGGATTTGAACTCACGCTTGAAGACTGAGCAAAAACAACTGCATGAGCACCGTTCTCTGTCAGGCACATATCATCATCTGCTGCGCAACGCAAGAGATCAGCTAGATCGAGTGTTGTTCGATATCAATAAGCAGTTCGAGAAGGAAAAGGCCAAACGTGACGCCGAAAAGGCAGCAGCAGCTGAAGCAGAAAAAGTTGAGGGAGAAGCTGACAAGAAGGAACCCGACGCGGTAAGTTGATTTATTTGTCTTACCCTGTCGCCACAGGACGGTGATAAAATTGGAGACTCCGAGGACAAAGCCGAAGAAAAGGAGTGGGAAGTGGTGGACACTGTATAAACAAGAAACTGCTGGTCCATGCATTTACTGTCAACTGCCGTCGTTCGTTATCCTTTCTAGTACTTGTCCCATCTGTGGCATTTTAATACGCTCAAAAACGAATAAAGTTACTCTTAACTTCCAGTTGGTGTCCACCGTTTGCTGTCAGTCTAGCCGGTCGTTGGTTGCAGATATTGGCGATTTGTCTACGAGGGGTAGTGTTGATAGGTATCCGTAGCTGCGATAGCAGTTCCTTTCGCTGTCATATCTTTTAGACAGTGCATGTTGTGGGGTGAATGTGTCTTCTTTTTCTCGCCTGCTGTGTCTCACGAGTGATCGTCCGCATGGCGAGTAGTCAGGTATCAACCTGTCATTGGTAGCACATTGTTGTACTAAAGCGACTCCCAGATTTACATGGTTTTGTGCGAACTGCACTGCATCGGGTTCGATTCCGGGTTAACCTACATTTCTCAGGCTTACTGAATGGTAGCCATTTGCGATCGATTTGTGAAGATGCTCCCATCTTGATGAGGGAGGTTTACTGACCAGTTAGCAGTTCAACTCTGGTCGCGTGGTAAAAGTGTAAGTGGGTCTGTCTCGCTAGGAGCCAGTAGGTGAAGCCTACGCTTACGTCCTCGCTGGCCTTGTGTGCGTCGAGTGTCGTTGCCGTCTTCAGCGAAACCATGTGTACGCTAAGTCAGCTCAGAGTAGTGCCAAGTCCTCCAGGCTGAATGTTTTTGGATTTTGGTGAACGGAGGACGCCGTTGGTTGGGCAGACCTGACTGGGAGTCCTCGTTATGTTCGGCAACGTCTTACCATGGCCTATGAATCAGTCCCACTCTTCTGTTGGTGGCTTTGGGAGCAAATAGAACGAAATCGCTCCTGCAGTCCAAGCTGCTTGCCGCCGCTTGATGTAGCCTGTTAGTCAGTTACTGGTTAATCCTTATGTGCGGGAGGGTTGGTGAACCCCGACACAACTCCACTGACTTGCGAAATAGGCTCTTCCGCCAGAGGCTGAGAGATGGGTCTGGGCACTCTGACAGTATTCCGATCCATGAAGAAACATAATAGTAACAAACACTTTTATAACATATCGGCCGTCGAGTGGCGAGATGGCCCAAGTAGTTGGAGCGCGAATTTACTGACCGGAAGGTCTGTGGTTCGAACCCGACCTCCGCCACTCGACTTCCCCTGTCTAGGCTTGGGCAACCTGACAGTATCCCAGCCCTCGTGCTTCCTTTGGGTGGCATGGCAGCTAGGCACCGAAAGGGCGCTACAGCTGAACGATTTTTATTTTATTTATGTGCGGGAAGTAGGTGGTATTGTGTCGGGTGGCTTTTGGTCAGGTAATATGGGTTCCGTGTCGCTGGGTTGAACCGGCTCCCCACACTGTCCTTGTGAAACACGAGCATTACCGTTGGTGTGCTGGAAACGCGAGCATGCGTTTCAACCTCTGGAACGCATTGGTCAGACTGAACGCCAGAAATTGGGTATCGGGGTGTCTTATCTCGTCCTGGAAACATCTCGTCTGAGTCTTTTATTTGCTGCGCTCGTGGAAGGCGCATTTGGTCTCGATCAGTTACCGTTGATACGATGCGTGTCGGGTGGATCAGTCCATATTGGTTATCTGAGACGCTGGGGACGTTAGGTTCCAGAACATACACCGGGGGGGGGGGGGTACGACGACTTTTCAAATACAAGTTCTGCCAAACAAAAAACATTCATCTTTAACACCCTTTAGGTGCCTAGCCACCATGCCACACGAGTGCTGAGGTACTGTCGGGTTGCCCAAGCCTGGACAGAAAAGTCGAGATACAGAGGTCAGGTTCGAACCACGGACCTTCCGGTCAGTAGATTCACACTAACCACCATTTCGCCCCAGTTCTGCTAACCGAGCCACAGAATGTTTCCTCCGTCATGCTAGAAGACCTGGACATAGTTGACCACACCACTGCTCAGTGTTAACGAGCCGTGCGTGAATAGCAATGGGCTGGTAATTCTTGAAAATCTGGAGCTCCAATATAGTGTGGACAGAAGTAATCAATGAGCTGGCCTCGCCTGCGGACTTTTTGTTGACGAGCGCAGGCGAATCTAAGATGGCCAGAAACTGGATGGATCTCCGCTACGTCTGATGGTGCAAATGTCCGTGATTCACGATAGCAGTTAACTGGGGCCCAGGATTCCGGGGAAGAACAGCAACGTGGGGGGGGGGGGGGGGAGGGGAAAAAA